TTAGACCAGAGCACCAAATAATAATTATGCTCAGGAATGGGAAAATGATGAATGTGTGTTTGACCTTTTTTATGACACCAGAACTGCAAAAGAATTACAGTACCAATAATCATCCAGTAAATGGTTTACCTCCAGAGTTTGAATCTTTGCTGGCACTTCAAAGTAGCATTCGAAAAAACTGCTTGTAACAATTAGCCACTAAATGGCCTCCTCTTCACACTGCCCTGAAAATGACATATACAAGACACTTGTTTAAAATTTAATTGTTCTTATGTACTGCAGAAACATGACATTATCAAAAAACTATAAGACTCCCATGGAAATGTGATAGAATCAAGGCCAGATGTTATTGGTGCACCTAAGGTGTTTGAACTACCATACGTCTCAGGTTTGAAACTAATAATCATATGCCAGTTGTTATGATTGTATTGATCGAGTTAGTTGTAAAGTCGGATTACTGTACAACATATTGTATGACTCATTGACCCTTATCATGTAATAAGCAATACAATTGAAATCCCCATTCTCTCTCTTGTCTCGCTCATCTCTTTCTTCTTCCTTCACCTACTATTAATACAAACTCCCCCTCCCCTAAATTATTGTAATAGTTTCGTACCTTCCCCTCCTCTTAATAATAATTGAAAAAGGGTTGAAAAAGGGTTGAACATGCATGGATAAGGGGGTTTGGAGGGCTTAATTTGTCTGTGATTTCCATGGAGAGCTAGTTTCCTATGTTTATAGAAATATTTCCTTTGTTTTATTAATTGTCACTTAATCATGGTATTTCGAGAACGCTAACCGAAGTACAAATATGGTTTACAATTGAGTATTATATGATTAGTTTGAAAATTTTCTAATTTATTCAGTTTATAATTGGCCATAAATAAATAGGAGTTTATAATGTGCGTAGAAATCACTTTCCAAAAATATAAAGTATGCATAAGATTCTTATAGCGCCTTTGGTTGCTAGAGTTCAAACTTCTCTAGTTGTCATACGTATTTGTCCAATGTTCAATCCGGGTTAAGCAATTATATTTGCATTCAAATTTAAATTCGTTGGTTTTGCCCAGTCAACTCTCATATCTTTTCCCACCACAACACTAACACTTGCAAATAGCAACATATATAGCAAAAATCAACAACAATGTTAGTTAGGTGATAATGTTTTAGCTCAACTTTCTGTATGTAAGCTAAAGAAGTTTCTAAGCCACACACGATCGATAATATATAATGTTATATGTTTCCTCCTTAAATTCATTTTTTCAGCATTTTCATTATTGTTATTTAATATAAGAACACCATATTTGTATTAAGTTCATAGTTTTTATATAAATCAAATGAATGTCTATCTCATATACTATGACTAATTTCTGGTAGATAATTTCCTTAATTTTTCGTATTAATAGCATGGAAAGGATCCTAGAAAGGTATGAAAGATACTCATATGCTAAGAGCACTAGTAGAAACAAGGTTAGTAACACAATATTTTTCAAAGCACATTTACTAGTTAAAGTATTGTTGGAACTACCTGGTGTATAGAGAAAAAGAAAATCAACAAGATAGTTATCTCCCTTGATTTTTACAATTTCAATTTTGTAAATGAATCACATGAAGGATCTACATATTATTAATTCAGTCTACATCATGTTTAAGAGCAAGGGAAGGATTGCAATAAAAAAAAACACAAAGAATTGATATCAATTCAAACCTGATTTGGTAGACAATTTTGAAGAGAGAGAGATGGAGGATGGAGGTAGCTGCTACAACTGGGTTTGCAGTTTCTGCCTCCCAAACTGATATAATGAAATAAAAAAAGTCGTTGACTTTGTGCGACGCAGGTCCTCATGCGTCGCGCAAAACAGCTTTGCGCGATGCATGAGGACCTGCGTCGCACAAAGTCAACGAAAAAAGCGGTAAATCCTTTTTGGTTTGGCGCCAAAAGTTTGGCGACGAATGACGGCGTCGCGCAAAACACCTTTGCGCGACATAGGGGAACATACGTCGCGCAAAGGCGTTTTGTGCAACGATGGCCTTCGTCGCGCAAAGTGCCGTTGCGCAAAGTCCATTTGCACGACGTTTTGTATTCTACGTCGCGCAAACTGACTTTGCGCGATGAAATTTTCTCCGTCGCGCAAACATGTTTTTCTACTAGTGCTAAAACCCTGTCTGAAGCCCAGTGGTAATTTCGTAAATAAAGTGAAATTTACCCTAACATTGCACAGTGTCATTCCCCTTTCAGTTATAGAATAGATAATTCGACCCATTTTGTTGTCCCTGCCTAGCTAAATAATCCAGGGGGCCAATGTTAGGGCCCAAAAATTTCACGAAAAGCCCAAGTAAATTGAAGGCCCATTGCTTAGTACAGTTCAAATGCCTCATGCTAAACCCAATTATATCATACGTATTTATCCAAAAAAAATTAGTAGTTAAGTAAGGTTTTACACAAGTTTTAATTATTATCATACCATGGAAGCAATAAAATATATCACACCATGCCAAGCACATTCCTTTAAATCTAACATATACCAAGATTACATGACTCAAGAAATGTGGTTTCAAAAAACTTGCTAGAAGGGTTGATGTGTGTGAAAGGTTACAGAGTTCCACAAGGCCCATTGAAACTCTTTGATAATAGAAACTTTGGTCTATTTTGGAGCACCAAAGTCCAATCCTATTACTTGAGGTAGCCCTCGTTGGGTAAGCAAATGAGATACTTTCTTACACCGTATTTTGGTGCACCATTGATTATTAACCTAACTCCATAGCAACTCATCCTCCCAAGTTCTTCCGAGGAACCTATTCATGCACCAGGCCATTTTACCTTTTTTACTAATTAAAAAGAAAAGTGAACACAATAAGCCGTGGCTTTCACCATAAGAGGAAGATTTTGAGGATTTCCTACTAGAAATATCTTTAGCATCTTTGACCTTCATACTTCTTTTATCCACCAAAAATAAGCTGTTTCCAACGTCCCTTTTTGTCCATTAGACATAAGCCAATTTTGGTTCTTCATTTTACCTGCTGAAAACGTGTTGTTTCTAGGACATCCTTTAATTCAACAGAAATTAAGGATAACCTTAGGCCATTATAAACTAGAAGCCAAGATCTGAGTAAAAAAGGAGGAAGGGGGAGGTGCCAGCTTACCAGTACCAAACATTCTCCAACATGCCTTTTCAACTTCATGCTTAGAGAAGAACTTCTCCTTGCTGCAAAAAATACTCTCCCTGTTGTAGGAAACCCTTCTTGACTGCTGCAATCTTTCCTTTACCAACTACTAACCCAACTTCAAGCTTCACACACCCCTGCCTTCAAAATTTTCATTCTCATCTTCTGTAAAAACACCACCACAATCAAAACATCAAGTTCCCCATTGTACTACACATGAAACTCAACCACCACGCCCAACTCATCCACCACCAAAATCTCTTAAAAACCTTCATGCTAAACTTAAGCCTAGCCCAACCATCTCATTTGTTAAACTTGTAGGTCTTTAGCTCTCACACCTCAGCTCTCATGCCAAGCTCACATGCCAAACTTAATTATTCTAATCCCTAGTATTTGTTAGTTTAACAAATCCTCATCACAGCCGCGGGAAGCACCTTAACAGAAGCGAGAAGCACGCCAACAGTCACCGGACAACTTCGACAGACCGCTGGAAACATTTCAACAGAAGATCGACCCAACACTTTGGAGTTGCTGGAAGAAAAACAAAATATTCCTAGAACTTGCTTCCCCTTTGGGATGTTTGGGCTTGGTTTTTGCTAACTCAGATATCAGGGGCATAAAGGCTTTAGTCACCTTTTTCCCGATCAAAAGTCCAACAAAGCCTCCGACCAAAAAGACCCCAATAAAAATTTACAAAAAAGCCCATGACGTTTCTTGACTGTATCCAAACCATTGACCGTGTCTAAACCGTGTCTGGAATGTGTTTGAGGCATAACGGCGTGTCAGGGTGTCCGAGACTCCGATACATCGGAGTGTCCATGCAACATGGATTGTAAGTAGGTTTTTTTTTAGTTTTTTTCATTTTTTTGACCCAGTAGGTAGGTATTTAATGTGGGGTAAAATTTCAGATGGGCTGCGCCTACTCTTGTTCGGCCTGGACTCATTGACAATCGTGAGGAAGTATCATGCCTCATTGATAGTAGAAAAATGTTATCCCGCCAAATACATGAATTAATGGAGCTTAAAGAAAACTGAGAACAAGTCTGTTTACTTAATTAACGGACAAATTGAAGAATCATTAATGTCACAAAAACTCATGTCTTTAACAGAATGAGTTAAAGCACTGAGGCTTTTATTAGAAAGATGACCAAGGCGTTGATGTCAAAGGCGAGATAAACAGGACTTTTAAATGGTATTGCTTTACTTGTCCCAAAAGATGATCAAATGGCAAGCTCAAAAAGTGTTATCTCAAACTTGCTTGCTATATATGGCTGAAGCAGAACTTCTTGTGAAACTGTAATGCAGGGTCATAAGGGAGTGCATTCACACAATCTTAAAACCCTTTTTATCGAAAAGATGGCAAGTGATCAATCTACCACTGCGGGTTTCTGGTCCAAATCAGTGGCAGTGATCATATTCCAAACTGTAAGTTTGACTGTGAACCAGCAGACGATTAATACGAGAGATGAATACACCACTTCCTCTTATTTAGGGCACCGTAAGTATTGGGGATTGGGGGGACTTTTTCTTTTTAAAAAAAATTTATGATCTTTTTGCCCTTTCGAGCAAGCTTATAAATCCTCCCATGCACGTTATATGTTCCTTCTGCCTAGTTCTGTGAGAGACTGGTACAATTATCTATCTTGGGATGTAGGTGATACCTTTATTTCCTCCCCTTTTTTAGGTCAAGCATATTCTTTACAGTGCCCGGGAAGTTGCATGTATCACAGAAATTGGGTTGGTAGCATAGGATTTCCATCTCACAAAGCATTCCAACCAGGATTAATTAGTCCTCAGGTTAATTAGACACAACCATTGACTTCGAATTCTCCTTGTCATTCTCCATGATTCTGACCACTAATACTTAATCTTTTCCTTTTGTTCTCCTCTTTTGGGGGTTTTCCCTTCTGCCTTCTTTTATATACAAAAAGTCCATAAAAAAGTTTAGAAAATGATATTCATATACCCTTTTTTCTTTTGCACATTCTGTGTAATTATCTCTCTTAATTTTATTTTTGTTCATTCAATCTAAACAATCAGAAATAAACAAGAGTATGCAAAAAGATAAAAAGTGCGTGTTTTACAATTTTCAACCAGATGAAATCCATATGTCACCATATTCCCAAACCAAACACATAAAGATGATATAGAAAGAATTCTTTTAACCTTCATTTAGTATTTTGTCCCTACAATTTCACTGAAAAGAATACAAGTACGAAAAATATTCAACCAATTTTTTTTTTTAAAAAAAAAAGAAGAAGAAGAAAAAAAAAAGAATTAAGAACAGAAAATTGGAGGCTACCAATAATTCTCAGGTTGCCAAAGGCCTAAAATCAATACGAAAGTGATGATGAGTGTTAAAGAAATTGACCACTTAGAGGAAGACCTCGGGTCCAAAGAAACTGCATGGTTGTAAGAATCTTCACTCAGCAATGAGCTAAACCTGAAATTAGGGTTTGAACCGTACAAAGCTTGGACACCTTCCACGTCATCAACCTTGAGGTTCACCTTCTTGGTCCGAGGACGCAGGCTCGGGTACATCACGGCCTCCTTGACCGAGGAGTGAGCCAGCCCGAGTACATGACCTATCTCATGAGTCGCCACCGATTCCAAATCAATCGCCTCCTTTGACTTATCCGTTTTGAAATCAACGGCCCACGATTCCGCCGCGTCAAGGTGTAACTGCCCATTTTCGGGAGAAAAAGCATGCGCCAGCACACCTAACACCCCATCGAACGGCTTCCCATCTCCATGGTCGCCGCGGTAAAACCCTATTTTAATATCCGCGGAAGTGTAGTTCTGGGTCTCGGTGAAGTTCACGGGGATCACCGCCGACCACCGCGAAAAAGCGCGGCAAAAAATGTCTCGAATATCCGATGGGTTCAGGTAACTGACCGTGTGGTTGGGGGAGAAAGCGTAAGTGAGCGGGGAAGGGCGCTCCCACCTCGGCTTGCCATAGAAGTAGGCGAAGTGACGGGTCGCATGCAAGGCAGTATGTTGCGACGCATCACTAACACCACATCTAGGCGAAATGATCGCTGAGATTGTGTCAGTGTCCAGCTTGCCTGTAACGGGCAGGCTCAGCCTGGACTGGTATAGCGTCAGGGCCGACTCAAATTCGGTGTCGAAGAAATCGGTGAAGTTGGAATTGGGTAAGTAGCCGAAACGGTGCATGTAGTTCTTGAGCTCCGACATGCCGCTGACTAGGCTTCCTCTGCCGGCGTCTAGGAAGATTGAGAAGTCGTGCCATTTGGCATTGTGGACGTCGGAGGCATCAGTTAATACAGGTACTGAGTCCGGTAAGATTCTGGCTGGAAGGGCAGGGCGGGAAAAACAGAGGAAGCAAAGACATATGAAGAAGAAGAAGAAGAAGAAGAAAGAGTTGTACCTAAAAAATGGGAACATGGTTTGATTTTTCGGTTATGTTAGTTATCTTGGGAGTTGAGCTTTGAGATTGCAGAACAATCATAGGCTAATCTATAGATGGCATGTAAGGGACATTTGGATTAAGAAATGAATTATATATAAATAATATAAATAAAAGTTGATGTATTTTATAATTTGAATATATAGGAATCATCGAAAGTTTGGGGGCTTATAATTCTAGGTAGGATCGATGGGAGAAGAACACTAGAAATTCAAATGATGGTGGAGAGATAAGTTAACAAGATTCTGCCGTGTTTGTATTTTGGTTGGAGATTCTGACTTTCAAGAGCAAATGATGGGTAAACCACTAGGTCGGTTTTCTGTTAATTAATAATTACTTTCACTAATCCTTTTTTCTTTATTTTTTTAATATCAGGCTTAATAAATCGGCATCTCTTGATCTGGATTAGTTGATGATTTGTGGGTTCTGGGTTTTGTTTATTTGAGGGAAATTAAGAAAAATAGAATATGCTTAAAAATTTGAAGTGTAGGTCAAGTTATATATTGGTTGATCAGTTTAGAGTACTCTATTTGCTGACCAAATTTGGTGATTTCAATTAAAATGATCGAGTATAAGTGTAGAGAAATCATTTTCTAGTGAGGGTTTGTTTTGGGTTTAACTTGTTATACTTAAACAAGAAAGTTTCTTCATCTTAGGACAGACCATTAAGCAAATGTATGAACTGATCATGCGGCGGCTTTTCCAAGTAAATTCAAACAAGAGAAAAGGATTGGTGGTCGAAATTAATATCAACAGTTAACAACTACCTCATGATTTTGTTATTTATTTTGGGTCCAACCTCATGATATACACATTGAAGAATAGAGTCTCATACCGAAAATGTAACAAAATAATGTGCAACTTATATGTGAGAATTTCACTTCTAATATCATTGAAATTTTTGTGAAAATTCAATACCTAATAATAACTGGTTAAATTAGAACAATATTGGTGATATATTTTAAACTGAACTCACGCCAACAATACATTCATGGTTCATGAGTGATTAAACCATATGGTTTTGCTTTTATTAAAAAAAATTAACTCCTTATTTTCTAGTCCTCTACTTCAAAGCCCTCGATGCTAAAGACCATTTGGTACGGTAACACTCAATCTTCACTTTGTGCAATAGTAGACTCAAGATTTTATCTACGTAGGACATAAGAATTTGTTTTCATAACCATTTTTACTGAAAATTTACCAAATCCTTTTCCAACCAGCTCCATTCTTAGTTAATTAAATCTTTTTTATTGTAATTAAGTATGTGATCATATGCATCATTTTGGAGAAGAGGTAAACTCAAATATCATGAACAATATTGTTTGGGCCTAAATCATCTAAATATACCTATAATATTATGGCCTGAGATCTAACTGAGTGCAAAAAATATTGATCGTATTAAAAAAGTATTCGCGCCATTTCATCTAGAGAATCCGGCAATACAGATGCACCATGATTTAAAGAGAATCCGGCAATACAGATGCACCATGATTTAAACATATTTAAATAATATGTTTTAATTCGTTTTAAAGCATAAAAAATAAAAACCAAATAAAAAAAATCAAATTGATGCACAACCATTTAATTAGAAGTCAATATTGCCACTTAGTACTACGGTCTGGTAATATTTCTCTTCACTTGTAAGAGAGAGGCCTTACGCTCGATTCTCTCCAAAGACGAAGTTGAACTACATTATTATGGCTAGTTCAATATCAGACTTAGCCTACTCTCCTACCTCCCTTAGTGCAGATACTATTGTTTAAACATAAAAAATTAGAAGCCAATAGTTAACTTCTTTCTTTCTTTATTATCGCAAAATCCCATTTTGATTTAATATATATACACACACACACACATACACATAGAAGGATCTGTGGCATAATAAAAAAAAAAAAAAACACAAGATTTGACACAAATTTTAAACCATTAAATTAATCCACTTTTAATGGTTGAGATGCAATATGGCGTGGCATTTAATTTGACATATAATTCTTCAAACAAATATACATTACAATAAAAATAAAAATCCAAAACTTTCTTAATTATGAATTTGATTCTCTCTCCTCAATACTAATTAATATTTCTTTGGTTCTCTCTTGTATTCCCCTTGCTTTCCTTTTTCTCTTCATCCTCGCCTCTAATTCTGAAAATTTTCTCCAACTTCATGATAACATCTTCCAGTTAATTGCACCATACGTCCCCATAGAACACAGCACTACCATGGCACTCTTGACTCTTGTAACTACATTTTATTCACACCCTTACAGGGTACTTTATAGCCTTAGAAATCATGTATTTTTTAATAACATTGAGAAAAAAAATCCAGTTCTCTCTCTCTCTCTCTCAGGATACTTTACCACCACCTCGACCACCATCTAGTGGTTTTGGGTTTGTTTCTAGAGATCAAAGATGTTGAGGATTATATACAGGGTTCATTAGATATTGGTCCTGAAAAATCATGATTTCTAAATATAAACCCACATATAATTAAAAATCCAACAAAAACCCAAAAGTCAAATAAACTGCCACATAAGAATATAAGTAACCTACTAATACAAATTATTTACAATTTTTGCCACAACCCACACTTGAAAATTAGCTTCAATCAAGGGCCTTAAAATCTAATTAATCATCCTGACGTTTTTTCTATTTATTTATTTTTAATTTCTACAACAATCTAGTGCATTACTTTAAATAATGACTACATTATTATTCGGTGCAATTATTCTCCTTATATATAATAGTTAAATGTCCCTACTTTACCTATATAAACAAAATATTCTCATATTTCTTTTGGCAATTTACCTATGATATATGCAAATAATATTCTCATGTTTTGTTGGCATTTTTCCTAAATTATGCAAGTAGGTAAATTAATATAATAGTAGGTAAATTATGCAAGTAGGTAAATTTCAATAATAGTAGGTAAATTATGCACACGTGATTTACCTACATTTTTTATGTGAATCAAATATCTAGACTGTATATGTAAATAATTTACCTATAGTTGGTTCTTTTCTTTTTCTTTGTCCTAAAATTACTTTACCTGCAATTTTTATCTCCTTTAATTTATATATTTTTACTTAAACAACAATTTTTTTTATATATTTTAAAGTACAATAATTTACCTATATATAATATGGACACGTTGTAATGGTAAATTGGAATTCGAGAGCCAAACTAACCAACAAATCCCTACATTTATATGCAAAATATTATTTTTGTAAAATCATTAATTCTCCTTTACAATTTACATAGAATTAATTGTGTACATTAAACATTCGATAAGGGTGTTTTAGGCATCCGAAAAATTTTAAATGGGTAAAGTCAAACATAATTAATGAATTTGCTTATGTGGAGTCTAGTCAATGGGTTTTATTTGAGCAAAAAATTTACGTCGGATTTTATGTGGAGAAAATTGAGTTCCAGGGGCTAAAGTCATATTTTCAGTTATATATATTACTCTAGAACTACCAAATTGAGTGCGAATCTAAACCCAAAAAGTTGAAAACAATAAGTGGTACCTATTTGATTGGTGCAAGATATGACCATCATGATCAATATGAGCAAGAAATTAGGAGAAAAAAAAACGAAAAAACTTGGTAAAAAAATTAGCAGGCGAGGATGAATGAAGAAGAAAGATTCAAAGGAAAAAGGGAGAAAAATAATTAATGAGATAGGAGAGAGAATAAAAAATCTCAATTAAAAAGTTTTTAGATTATTTCCAATACAAAATTACTTAGATTAAGAAAAATAATTGGACTAAAGAGATTGCATCTTAATCATTAGAAGTGGACTAATATAGTGGTTTAAAACTTGTGTCAAATCTTGTGTCTTTTTATATAGCCACATATCCGCCTATATTAGTGATGTGTTCCATGACGAAGCTTTTGTGTGGAAAAAAGACTTATGGTGCAATTGATTGGAAGATATGAACATGAAGTTGGAGAAAATTTCAGAATAGAGGAGAGGACGAAGAGAAAAAGGAAAGCAAGGGGAATACAAGGGAGAACCAAAGAACAATTAATTAGTATTGAGAAGAGAGAATTAAATTCATAATTAAGAAAGTTTTGGATTTTAATTTTTATTTCTAATGTATATTTATTTTAAGAATTATATGTCAAATTATATGCTCTCAGATTGCATCTCAATCATAAAAATTGGACTAATCTAATGGTTTAAAACTTGTGTCAAATCTTGTATATTTTTTTTTATAGTGTCGCGTATGAATGAGATTTAGGAATTCGTTCCAAATCACATTCAAGGTAATCATATAAGTAAGCGAATCACATTGGATAGTAGACATGAATAAACTATCAAATCAAACAATGAGGTCAAGAGTATTGTATTAGAGAAAGACTGTATTGCATTGTAATCCCAAACTGAATAGGTTCTTCACCTCTTCTGATTAGCTTGGGTAGCCATGACATAGTGCTAAGTGTCACTAATGGTTTGTGGAATCCCTATAGGTGTATAATCACAAAAGGAAGAATTGAAAAGTAAGTTTCAATTCACAATCGATTTGAAGAGTTCACTACCTCACTAAAACGAACCAAATGGATCATACACCGTATAAGGTAGAGATTGAAGAAACAACGGAGATGAGTAAGGATAATTAGATGGTTTAATTATTTATGGCTATGATTAATTAATATGTTAATTAATCAAACGAATATGTTCATTTTAGACCTCGGATTAGTTTTGGGCCTCAAGGCCCAATGGGCTTCAAATGTCAAGTCCAATAACTCAACTTGTATGACAACTTCAAAACACAAAGGGCATGAAAGCCCAATGAACCCACATGGCCGGGCATAGAGAGTGTGAGGAAGAATTGGTTTTAATTTCAATTATGCCACTCAATGTAAGTGGCTATAGATAGGAAATTATAACCCATTCCCTCATAAGGGTTTTCTAAAGAGAAAAGAGAAAAACACAAAAGCTCTCTCTTCGCTTAGGAGGCCGGCCACCCTAGGAAGAATGGACTAGCATCCATTTCTTCCTAGGTCACTCATCTCTTCCTCAATGCTCTCCTTGGTGTGGGGAAACTTAGAGGCTCCCTTTCTTGGGAACTTGGAGAATCCATTCCTTCATCCATATCTAAGAAGTCATGGAGCCAAAAAGCAAAGTTCCTCCATCCACATCCATGGAGCCAAGGAGTAAGGAGACTAAGGAAAGAAGGCCCTCACATGGGTGAATATCCTTTGCGAAGCAATGAGGTGCTTCAAAGGTATAAAAGTTTCTCAACTCTTTTCTTTAAGATTTGAGTTGAGTCTTGGTTCACCACAACTCCTAGGCCTTGAATTTCATGGGTAAAGTTTTTTTTTTGAGTGCATACAAGCATGATTCCGCCTTTA